AATCTCTGCAAGTAAGCACTGGCTTCAAACCATATTCCTGAATGGCTCCAGAAGTAAATAGAATCCTCAGAACCCATTAATGATGGGAACAAGAGACATAGCTCGTCTATCACCAAACATATTATAGAGACAGGACATAGAATTTATGTTTTTTCATCTTTTAAGCCTATCTATAAAACGTGTTTGGGGCGTATCCTAAAGGTTATGGAAGCCCTAGCTGCCAATTAGGAAGTTTAAACCACCTTTATGCGTTCAAAGCAACAATCCGTCATCACAATAAACCACCTTCCTTGGTAAATTTTGTTTTGATACCTGCCAGGGTAGATGTACTATTACCTCTTCTATTTGTTTTAGTGGTCTTCATTGTTATTTTGACCTTCAGTGTGTCCTTTTAACTTGATCTAAGTCTATTTTCTCGCCTCTTAACTCTTTATTAATTTCATATATGACAAGTCCGTGTGTGATCAGATTGTCTTCGAAATGTGTTGCGCAAATACACAATACACGATTCAGACAAATTACATCTTCCTATTGCTTTGTCTGGAAGCTACTATGTTCTCAATGATTTGAGAAAATTTAGACATTGGGTATATGAATTTCATTATTATAAAGGTTTTTGGTATTTCCTAATGAATGAAAAACAAAACGATATTGTTGTTTTACCATTGTTCTTCAACACCTTTTCAAGTATCGCATACCGATTCTATACTTGTGTATTGTAGTGTGGTGAGAGCTGGCTGTTAGTCAAAATCGGTAGACAGTAATTTACGTCAATGTGTATGTCCCCAATATTGGTCGTGAGCGAAATGAGAACAGAGGCTTTGCGTAGGCGGATACAATTAGCAGACATTCAAGAAACAACCACAAAGAGATGCAAGGTGAGAAACAACCAATCAGAAGACTGTGCTTGTCTGCTAACAATAATCTATAATAATGTACATGAAAATCTATAAATATGTGTTGATTTCCTTAATAAACGATTTGTTGTCTGGTTCCTATCTTCTGTTGTTACAGTAGGACAATTATAACTCACCAAGTAACTGTATATTATATGTTTATTAATTTGTGCGAACCGAATTCCTCTCTACTCACATACATGTTTTTGTATTTGTCTTGTTCGTTCTATTCGCGGATAGACGAACTTAGCCGTCCAGTTCACAACAATTTAAGACAACTGATACCTCTGTCCTAATGAGCTGTGATGATCCAAAGTTTAAGTATCTCTTAGAGTATACTTTCTTTTGTAAATTCTGGTCTAAATATTACTACTTTTGTAACAACAGAAGACAAGGGCCAGGCAACAGATCGTTTATTATTGAGGAAATCAACAGATATTTACAGATTTTCATGTACATTATTATAAATTATTGTAAGCAAACAAACGCAGTCTTCTGATTGGTGGCTTTTCGATGAACGTTGATCTTTCATCTCTTTGTGGCCGTTTCTTGAAGTTGAGATTATCTATCATCAAATTGTATCCGCCGACGCAAAGTCTGCTGTAATGAATGGTTGTTGAATCAGTCAGTCTTTGTTCTTATTTTCCTCACGACCAATATTGGGGACGTAAACATTGACGTAAATTACTGTCTACCAATTTTTGGCTAGCAGACAGCGCTCAGCACACTTTGATAAAGGTATCAACTGTTTTATAAGCAAAGGAACTCAATTGAAAACAACAAAAATATCGTTTTGTTTGATAAGACAACTTCATGATTGATTTATGAACAGGGAGCTAGCTACCTGACTTGTTTATATATACAAACAGATGTTTAACCATTTTGTGTTTCTTACTTAACTTTCTTTCCTCAACCCGCTGAAGTATTTATTATTCAAGAGTTGGACTGAGTAATGTTCGTTTCTCAGATGCTCTCTTTTAAATCCACGTCCCTAAAAAGCCTACGAATTCTCGGAGTTTCTGATAAAAATGACATTCTATAATCAATATAATCATGCCTTCATTTTTATTTCTTTTATTCCTTTGCATTCCCCATGGAACAATGGGGCTGCTTCAAGCTAGATCTATGAAGTTTTGGCAGCAGTGATGTTTGTCTGTACGGGGTAAGGTCACTAACTTCATGCCCCTCCTTTCCTCTTTGTTAGGCGTATTATTAGCTAAGCAAGGTAGAGGAGTACATCGGCACTTACCCAGTAAGTGAGTTGTAATCAGGGATGTACACAGAAACGAAGGGAAATATGGAAGTGTATTTGAGTTGTGAAGAAATACAAGAGTTATTTTTGTATTTTTTTTATTACAGCTTGATTCAACACTGTATTTTCGGTACAAGTATGAAATTTTCAGCATCTGCTATCGGTAGCCCAAATTTTGCAGGCCGACCGTAGATATCAGGTGTGCGTCGGCAGGGGATCGAACCTCGGATCGTGTGCATGTTCGGCGAGCGTCATAACCGCTGTGCCACCGACGCACTTAGAGAGTTAGAGAAGCAAACAAACGAACAAACAAAAGTCAAGTCGTCTAATTCAGTTTTAGATTTTTCGGTTGATTGATTGGACCGAGGTGCTTGGTCTCAGGTTGACATTTTGGCTTCGTGTGCAGATGCTTCAATGATGTTTGGGCATGTAATGAGAAGTTGATTAGCGGATGGTGACAGGCAGTGGAATTCAGGATGATGCGCATTTCGTCCTACTTGGGACTCGTCAATCACCGTATGTACCTGCATTCCTCAGTGAGTGAGTGAGTGTTGATGTTCCCATCGATGCTCTAACCCAATGGCCATAGTTTCAAACGCCAAAGCATTGGCCACTAGACCACTTTGGCAACATGAACAACCTATTGTGCAACGGGTCAAATAAAACTGACATGTCAACCTGAGATCAAGCACTTTGATCTAATCAATCGACGGCAAAATGTAAACATGAATTAAATAATTTATATGACCCGTTTCACAAGAGGTGTTTCTTGCGGCCTAAGTGGTCTTGTGGGTAACGCTTTGGCGTTTGAAACTGTGGGCACTGGGTTTGAGCCTCGGTGGGAGCATCAACATCACACACTGCGGAATGCAGGTACATCCACTGTCTGACGAGCCCTGAATAGGACGAAATGTGCGTTATCTTGGATTCCACTGCCAGTCACCATCCAACAATTAAAAATCAAGGCAGTCACGTTTGCTACCATCATAGTAGAAGTGGTTGAGTAATTTTCAATTGTAAGCATAACTAATCTTTCCCTATGTGAATGGCTATGGCTTCAGTAAGGCAAAAGAGACGAAAGCATATGAACTTTGGCAGGTTATTCTTTACTTTGTAGATCACTTTGAAGAAGGAGGAGTTTGTTGAGATAGAATAATGACCAATCGTTCTCCTTATGGAACCACCATATATATTCACTTGTTGCTTTGAAGACAGGTACATTCCAATTGTTCTGTGTGTATCCTATCTAGAATGGTTCAAGAACAGGAAGGTAGTAGTGGAGATTATTACTATTATTATTTTATTCCTTAGCGTTTTCAGGGGAACATAAAGCCTTATGCCCAGCCCAGCCTTCCCTTTTTACCAGTCTTATTACTGGCTTAGAGGTAAAGGGGTGCGTCAGCGACCGGGAATCGAACACCGAACCACATAGGGCATGGCTGGCAGGCATTCTACCACCGTGCCACCGACGTACAGTAGTCGGGATATATATATATATATATATATATATATATATATATATATATATATATATATATATTAGAACAAGACATATAAGCGAACAATATTGTTGTTTTCAATTAGATCTTCTTCAGGCTTTACTCTAATTTACATAGATTTAGATATAAAAATTTTTAACCAATGACGGTGATTTTATGGATCAAATAATAATAATAAAGTGGCAAATGTTTTGAACTTAGTTAGTAACAGTGATTATAATGATAACAAAATATTGATAATAAGGCTCATGCTGGTGATGGTAAGAGTAATGAAGGTGGTAATGTGTGTAGTAATATGTAGACAATTCTATAAATAAATGGTTTCGGTCAAATCTTAGAACTGACATCAGTTAGAGAACCACTAGAAAACCTGGGAGTAATTGACAGCTGTTTCGTACCAGCCTCTTGTGACTCTTCAACAGCACGCACCTACCGGTGTTCGAGCTGAAAACCTTCCGGTCACAAGGCGAGCTAGCTTGTAGACCATTTAACCGCTGGGACTCCATCCAGTGGCCCATGAATTCTAGCTTCTGCCAATTCACGACGTAGCGTGACCATTTCGCAATGTCTTTTTCAATGACTTACTGCCTCATCTTCAACCTACTGTATCCTATTGGTCACGCTTCCCACTAGAATCCCAGGTTAACTGCATTAATAGGCTGAGTGCTGCTGAGGAGTCCCAAACTGGGACGAAACAGCTGTCCAGTACTGCCAGGTTTTCCAGTGATTCTCTAACTGATGTCAGCTCATGATGAAAACTGATATGTACCCATATATATATATATATATATATGTGTGTATGGTGGTCTCTCTTTCTCTTGCTCTCTTAGTCTGTGACCATTTCACTTTGATGAACCTGTCTCCTTTAACAATGTATATTCCCCTTATATTATATATAATATGTGTGTTTGTTGACAGTCTGTTATATTTCGCTATGTATATATGGATCGATACTCCATTATAATTAGCCAATCATGTTAAGACTGTCTATTGATTTGTTCACACACTTGTTCGGACATTCATGTATATTTTTGCTCTCACACTCTTGTGTGGCTGCTTATTGATTCTCCTTGTGTTTGGAAAATAGAAGTATCATCGCAAACCTAGTGGTCTTCTGATTTCCGTCTTTCTTGCGTCAGGACTATTAAATTCTCGACCAGTACATAACAATAATTTGGCGACGAGTACATAACAAAATCCTCCATGTTATATTAGGAATATTTAAAGATTCATGTTTATATATTCAACAAACCATTCATATTATTTTGTTTGTTTGTTTGTATGTATAGATATCTCAATAAAAAATTTTTATTTATTGTTATAATAAATTGAAAATATGTTTACATAATGCAGAATTTGAATCAACTAATACGAACGCAAATTGCTGCAAAGGTAATAATGAAAATAATAATAATAATGGTCATCCTATTGCATAACTGTATGTAAACTTATATATATACATATCTATATATATTTGTGTTTCTGTGTGTAAGTATATCTATATCCCTTCCGCTCAAAGTTATACAAAATATTTCTTTTCTTATTTATTGCACACACACACACACACGCAAACACACACATGCACACACATATATATTTATCCACAACATGCACATTAGTAAACATAGTTTTTGTTTCTTTTAATTTCAAAGTTTAATTTCGACTGTTTTTTGTCTTTAATTTGCGTACCAAGAGAATTTCTGTTCGAATGTCTGTTAGTATGAGTGTGTATGTGTGTGAGTGAGTGAGTGAGTGTTTCACCTAAAATCTTTAGTTTTTAGTTTGATTTATTTTGATTTAATCCGATGTTGAGGTTTGTATGTGCGTGTGTTTGTGTGTTGTTATGCCTTGTTTTTTTATGTGATTGTGTTCTCTGAGCTGCATACTTAATTTGCGAAGCTTTCATCCCCCCAACACTGGGCAACGTCTTCAGAGCATACTTCAATGCGAATTGAAGTGAGCTTTTAGATTTCTCCACAGGTCTATTAGTCATCTCTCCTGATGAGTGGCCTTGGAAGTGATTGGTTGTTTTTGTGTGTTTTCACACTTTCTAGACTGATTGTCTCCTTGGCCTGAACTCTGATCCTTTGTGTGTGAGATCTCCTTCTTATCGGTTGGTAAATTTTGTCTATCTGTTGATTGACAATTCACTGGAATACCAGGCTGGCCTCTAAAAGTTCTCTAGGATTCTTAAAGTTTTCTCTGTCTAATATTTGAACGTTGGTTGTCACAGTCGAATTGATGTCCATGGTTTTCTGTATGCATTGAGGCGATATGGGGGAGTGGATATCATGTCTTTTGATTGCTAGCTTGTGGTCGTGGATACGAAGACGAACCGGACGTCCACGTGTAACATAGTTGTCCAGTAAGTAGCACATTTACGTTATCTGTTATTCTCTGAGGCTATAAATAGTTAGCTCCATGATTTCTGCAATATTCTGTCATCTCTCCCTGGCACAATCTCTTCCATATCACCCTCGGAGGAAAGCTGAACTTGTCACTTCTCATTCGATATTCACCCACCATCTCCACCCTAAGTGGCATGACTCTCAGTTTGATTCGAATTTCCACTCAGCGTCTGTCTGTCCAAAAATTTCCGTTTTCCTTCATATATTTGTTTGAGTAAAAGATTCTCGATTATTTCGTTCCCAGAGTTTCCTTGTGATTATCCCTTCCGACTGGTCATTTTATCTTCAATGTGGAGCCAGTGAATTGGGCAGCTGTTCACCAACGTTTGAAACTGGCTGTTGAAAGTGCTTTTCGAGACAGGCACACCAAGTTTACGACCTATGCAGAAGAAGTCACTTATCACACTGGTGGTGAAGATCCAAAATTGTGAATATCGTTGATGATAGGTCAGGAGGCAGTCTTGTCTTACTCTTGTCGTCATTTCAGTGGCTTCACTGAGTTTTCCGATGTGTAGATCATCTGTCATTTGCCGTTGAATGGGGTTGATAAGGATTTTGGTGTGTTTATTTGCCTAAGTTGACAGACCTTGTGCAAAAATTAAACCGTATGCAACAATCAATACATATGCTCTTCATTCAGACGGCAGAGTAGCTGTTTTACGTTCCACAAACACCTTCTCTAAAATTGAATAATGAAGGGTGTCATGGGACATAACCACGTCAAGATAAGTTTCGACAGGTCTTCAGTTACACTTCCGTTAGTATTATTCTTACTGTCGTCATTGCTACCACTGTCAACAGTGACACTTTGCATGAAAATCCGTTTTATTTTATTTTTTCATTTTTATTTTATTATTTTTATTTGATCAATTTTATTTTGTTTTTATTTGTTGTTTTTTATTTATTTTATTTACTCGAAAATTTGATATCAAGTTTTAGCAGTTTTATTTTCAAAATTTGTTTTTGTTTCAACTTGTTTGGCGCCAAATTTGATTTGAGTTTTCACCAAAAAAAAACAACCGCATTTCTCGTATTTTTTATTTTTATAAAGTCACAATTTTAGTTATCTTTTATTTTGTTTAATTTTTAGTAAAATTATTTATTTATTCATTTATTTTGGTTAATTGATTCATTAATTATTTGATTTATTCCACTTTTTTAGTTGATCACCTTTTTAAGTTCAAACATGTTATTGTAAAATTTGATTTTTGCATGCCTCCTTTTATTTGTTATACTACTACTACTATTATTAATGGAAGTAGTCATTTATGTTTTCCCGGGTTAATTTCTGACTTATTGCCAAATAACTTCGTCTCCATAAAGAAGATTACGTGAAAATTTTATCATTCGCTAACCAGTTCGTGAATTGTAAATTCGGCTGTCTCAGCTGAGTCAAGTTGGATACACACCACTGAAAAGCTCGGCCTCAGATGTGGAAACCAGCCATCCAGTAGAGTTTAGATAACCTAGATCTGGTTTGGCTGGCTGGTTATCAGGCATAAACTGGTTGATTGATAATATATGTAGAATACAACTACTACTTATCTCAGTTAATGAGTAGTATATAGTTCTAGGAAATTTTTCGCTTGCCTTCTTCAATGTAATTCATGGTATCAAACAGGTCACATTTTATGATAATGCTGGCTAATTTCAGCTTTCAAATGAAGAAGTTATGATCAAATCTCACCTTCTCAATCGAAGTAAATTACAAATTATGAATTAGACTTAAGATATCAGCGGATAATAATTACTGCCTTTTTAAACAGAAGCTGCGTGACAGCACAAACTCATCAGCAAGCTTAAAATGTAAGTTTTCCTAGGATTTCTAACTAGAGAAAATGTCACACCGTCTAATAACTACTTTTGTAACGACAGAAGACAACGGCCGGGCAACAGATCGTTTATCGAGAAAATCAACAGATATTTACACACTTTTTTGTACATTATTATTCGTTATTGTTAACAGAGAGACAATGTCTTCTGATTAGTTGTTTTCTGACTGAAATTTAATCTGTCATCTCTTTGTAGCCGTTTGTTTGAAGGTCAGACTATATACACCAGCTAATCGTACCCGCCCACGTAAAGTCTTCTGTGATTGGTTGTTGAGTTCCTCAAGGTTAGGTGTTGTTATTGTTTTCTCTCATGACCACACTTTTGCGGTCAAGGGCATTAGTTTCTCCTCAAGAATATATACTACTTTTACTTATGAGTAGCTCTAAATCAGTGGCGTCAAACAGCAAAGATTGCCAGCTATATTATTATAAAATGATCTAAACGCCATTCGATTTGTTTGAAACCAGGCTAATCTGTGGTGTATGCGAAGAAACTCAACTTAGAAAGCCCAATTAGTTGAAATCGACTGAATACTAGTTAGCTCAGTTTCTCATCACTTCAGTCCACTTTCAGTCAGTCTAAGGAAAACGTGTAATCAACCATTGTCATTTATCTACCTTTGGTCGAAATTTGTTGAAATAAAGTTGATTAGTTTACTGTTGGTGATTCTCAGATTTTATCAGTTTTATTGCAGATAATCTCTAAGAGAAAGGATAATGTTGACTAGTGACAGATGTACTACATCACAAAGCGAAAAGTATAACCATACAGTTCAGTGCTTAGTTGTACTGTGATCAGACACTAACTAGGAGCTAGCAACAGGCATCTAGCCCTTCGGTTGGTGCGGTCTGAACTCCGTTAGTCAGGTGTGCAATGTGCCTACTATACTAGATGGCTCGACACCATGCTCACGTACTTTGTATTGTTATTAGGCGGGCGAAAGCAATCAGCTGGAAGTCTTCAACCTGGACTTCCTGCTTACCGGCATTTACCAGTCAGCTAAACTTATCTACAGCCTCAAAGAAACTGATGTCTACCCCCTCCAATGAGATTTGAACTTGTGTCACCCGATGCTGCACTTAGAGACGTTACCACTGAGCTATTCTAGCTTGATAATGACCTCTTAAAGGAGTGTGTTCGATACTTTGATTGAAAACTAGGATACGTCATGGTAAAATGTTCATTGGTGAATGGTTTACATAACGCGATCTTGCATTAGGCCAGTTGAAAGTATAGCGTATTGTGAATTCATTTCGATGGACTGAAGCAAATTGGCTTCTCCTAGTTACTACGTGCAGGCACGCTCACACACATGCATATTCATACTTTCCTCACTTAAGACTAACTGACAAGGAATTCTAGTTTTCCTACTTCCTTTCTGAGTAACGTACATCAAGGTAAAGTGTACCAAAGTCAGAAGACATCAAAATATCTTACTAACATAAAAACTGGTATTATTTGATCCAAAGTAAGGGATGTGTTCACATTTCAAATGCAGTTTAAAACTATATCACAGAACCATGAAAGGTAAACATGCACAGTAATAGGGTTTGAGAACCACTGAGAACCACGTTCGTGTGTCCATAAAGTGAGGGGGTGGCAAAGTTCCAGGATTATTTGCTTTCAAGGATCGAATTATAACTAATAAAAAGATTATAAAAGTGGGTTACAAAGATAATAATAATAATAGTAATAATAAACAGACAATTGGTGGATGGTGGCTAGCAGTGGAATCCAGGATGCGCATTTCGTCCTATTTGGGACTTGTCAGCTGGATGTACCTGCATTTCTCAGTGAGTGGTGATGTTCCTACTGAGGCTCGAACCCAATGCCCATAGTTTCAAACGCCAAAGCGTTATCCACTAGACCACTTGGGCCACGAGAGACATGTCAACCTGAGACCGAGCACTTCGGTCCAATCGATCGACAGGAAAATCAAAAATTCAATTCAGTAATAATAAACAGATAGTTTGGATGAAAGATGTATGCATGACGACCAACGTGAAAACGAAACAGTTGTTTGTGTGTGTGTGTGTACATGAGGATTGTCAAGATTAGATAATTAATTTGGTAATACAAGAATGATCTAATGTAGAAACAAGGTTAATTAGATAGCAACTAAAGCAAGATTAAGTTAGTAAGTTAGATGACATAATATAATTGACAAAAATGTTTTAACTTAGTTTAGGACACCAACAGAGGTAATTACAGGTAGAGACTAAGTAGAATTAGAACTGAAACTGAGCAGATACGTTGGATGACGTAACATAAATGACTAGAAATTGAGCGTTGTTCGAGTCAGTAACAGTGATAGTGAGGTGCAGAAATCAAATCGGGTTGGGATAGAGAACAGAAAGGTAGACAATGTAAAATATTACAACTAAGAAGACAAAATAATACTAATGAAGAGACAGAAAGAAAGAAAGAAATAGAATTTACCTGTCGGGTGTTAAGACAGAATACATCCATTTCAAGTGTAGTGATTGAATGAACTTCTTCTGTATGTAGAGTTCAGGACTTAGCAAGTGAATCGTCATTGCTTCTGCAGTTTGAAGAAGTCTGATTCGTTCACCTTTAGGAAGACTACTTCTTACTCTGTAGACAACTTTGAGGTTTGTTTGGAGATGTAGCTTGGTGTCCGGAATCTATCAGATGTTCTAAGATAGAGCTGGGGGAGGGGGCATCGTTTTTCTCCTTTGTAAAACTATGCTGGTAAGTGTTCGGTGAAGAGTTCGGAAAGCGAAAGCCGGGTACAGACGATACACTTGGCTCCACAGGAGCAGGTGAATTGGTAGATATACTTCCACTCGATAGGTGGTTTCATCGGCAACGCCGACTTGGTCTATTCACCAAATCGAAGCATAAAATCGATAGATTATTAAATCGGAACTTGAGATGCACTTGAAAGATTGTTAATTGAATAAGTCAGAGGAACCTGATCGTGACATGGGCAGTTTCTTTTAACTTCAGTTATTAATATGCTTGTACAGAGTCGCTACAGTTGACCAGGATCAATCTCTAGACACTCTGGGAGAATAACAGACAAATAAGTTGGTTCCCCTTTTATGTTAAAATCTTTTGAATAAACTTTCAATTCATTTTTGTTTTTGATATGGTTTGCTCTATTATTAGTAAATTGAATGAATTCCGGTATACCTCGCTGACTTCAATGTTTTTCATTCAACTATCCTTTTTCCTTAGTCCACTGGCGGAGGAATGGATCAAAAACGCAACCGTGCTTATTTTCAGAAATCATGGAATTACTTTGATGCTTTTATGCTACTGTGTATATGGGCTTCGTTGGCTCTGCAATGCGTAGAATTTTATGTCACATTCCATTGTCCAATTAGTAATAATGCCTCTGCTGATAGCAACAGTAATAATTATACTACTACTAATAATAATAATGGTAATTTATGTCCGAGTAATGAAAACTTTCGACGTCATTATGGTTTTCTAAGTATGATACGTTGTCCAAGACCGCTAATATTGATTCGTGTATTTCGTGCTGTCCTGAGACTTCAACTGCCTCAAGCACGTGTCAAAGCTATATTTCAGTAAGTGTTTCTTTATTATTTATTTATTTTTTTTCCTTCACGTTCCCAGTGGAACAGGGGACTTCAAGTTAGAGGCTTGAAGTTTATGTCGCAGTGGTAATTATTATTACAGGATGGGGTTGCTAGCCTCATGCCCAACCTTTCCTCTTTACCAGAATTATTTCTGGCTAAGCGAGGTGAAGGAGTGCGTCTGTGATGGGGGATCGAACCTCGGACCATGTGCATGATTGGCGAGCGTCCTAACCGCTGAGACACCAACGGGTTTCTTCATTTAATGTTTATTTATTGTTGACGTTATTGTCAACTTAAACTGCTCACTATTTTCGTGAGTAAAACCTTTGTGAGATTATAAACCTCCATTGGATGGATATCAGGAAGCTAATAGGAGAGAGGAGAGGAGGATGGTGGTAAAACACAGAAGATGAACTAGTTCAAAGATGGACAACACAAGGAGAAGCTGAGTTCAATATCCATCGCAGTATATAACGAAGTGAATAAACAGAAGAATGCTACGAAAGGCAAAATAGAAAAAATCTCCATTTAGGCATTGAGAAAATAGAAAGATTGAGCGAAGAAATATTTACTTTTCAATTAGATCCTCATATCTGGCTCTACTCTAATATACACATATAGCATTTTGATTACAATACACAACAATTTACCAATCAAGTGGCACTCATATGTTTGTTAACAATAATTAGTCAGTCAGTGTCAACATGTCAATGAGGTGATAATTAACGAAGAAAATTAATACACACAATTAAAAGGTAGAAATGGTTAGAATAAATTAATTTTACAAGGATAACACGCAATTAAAGATGAAGTGGTCAGGAAAAGTGATAAAATAATTTAAACAATTATAATTTTTATAATTTTAAATGTTTAGGTGAGGGGGGCGAAGTAGTCCAGTTTATACATTCATGTAATGATGGCCGAGGTAAGGAAAGTGGCTGTACAAATTTCTTCTGAACACACAGAGGTTTGGCTAGCTTCTTCAGATGGATTCCTGTTGCTTCAGCTGTATGTAGAAGACATTGGGTGTACAATTAAGCAGGTTCATCATCGTATTTTCGAACATCATCCAACTTGGTTAAGCAAGGGACAAACAAGATCTCGTATCTCTATTTTAGCACACCTTGTAGATAGTGAGCATAAGGTTGATGTTAATACGGCATTTAAAATTATCTAACGCATTCCTGCTAACCTTTATTTTGCTCTACGAGTTCGTCTTCTACATACAGCTGTAGCAACAGGAATCCATCTGAAGAAGCTAGCCAAACCTCTGTGTGTTCAGAAGAAATTTGTACAGCCACTTTCCTTACCTCGGCCATCATTACATGAATGTATAAACTGGACTACTTCGCCCCCCTCACCTAAACATTTAAAATTATAAAAATTATAATTGTTTAAATTATTTTATCACTTTTCCTGACTACTTCATCTTTAATTGCGTGTTATCCTTGTAAAATTAATTTATTCTAACCATTTCTACCTTTTAATTGTGTGTATTAATTTTCTTCGTTAATTATCACCTCATTGACATGTTGACACTGACTGACTAATTATTGTTAACAAACATATGAGTGCCAATTGATTGGTAAATTGTTGTGTATTGTAATAAAAATGCTATGGATATATATTAGAGTACAGACAAAGGCAAAAGACAATTCTACGACAGACTGGCAACTGACAGCTGAAGCAGACAGATAGGCCACAGGTAAAAGGGACTTCTGAACATTATATCAAATAACCTACATAATATGCTCAAGGGAACGCAATTACCAAAGAGAAAAGACAAATTAAAACAATGAACTGTTCACTTCAAAGGACTTTTGAGTCGACCATCATCTGCAACTCACTTAGAAATACCACCAACAGTACGCATAGAACTGCCCGCCATTGAACGCCAGTCCTCCAGTGAAAGCAGAAATTTTGAATGCATTCAAGCTACTGAAGTCAGGGAATGCAGGAGGAATGGATTGGAATTCCACCTGAAGCACTGAAAACTGAAACAGAGATCTAAGACGATATGCTAACACCACTATTTCAAAATGAAAATTAACGAGTTTAGTGTGTGTGTGTTTGTGTGTGTCCGATAATGACATAGACAACGAGACCATATGAGAAGCAGATGAGATTCAGTCAGAGAGGATCTCAGAGAAAAGGAGAAAATAAAGGTTGTGTTGCTGAGCTCCCCTGTTCCGCTCAGAACCTAAGAGAACAATATTATTATTTCCTTTAATTCCTAGAAAAACATAGGGCCTCAGCCCGTGCGTCTCCATTGCGTTCGGTTCTCTGCTAACGTTTTCACCTGGCTCCAAATCTGCCCACACGCTTTCATCTCCTCTTCACATGACCTCCTCCAAGTCACCTTTGGGCGAACAACTCGGCACTTCCCTTTCGGGTTCCACTGGAGGGCTTGTCTAGTGATGTCACTTGATGGTTTCCTCAGAGTATGGCCAATCCACCTGAATTTCCTTCTGCCTACTTGTTGCACAATCGGTTCCTGGTTGGTTTGTTCATTGCTAGAGTTCCCTGTTTCTGGTCTTTTCTAGCCATCTGATCTTGAGTATTGAGCGAAGACAACTATTAATGAAGGTGTGTAGTTTGTCTGAGGTGCTCTTTATGATGCGCCAAGTCTCTGATCCGTATAGTAGCACTGACTTCACACTGAAGTTGAAAATCTCCATCTCATTTTCATTTTCATGCTGAGTGCTGTTGACCTCCACACAGACTTGAGAGTGATGAAAGCATGCCTTGCTTTTCCGGTCATCGCTTCGATGATATCCTCATCAGTTCTGTCTGCCTGTAGTTGAAACGATGCGTCCCAGGTCGGTCGTTTGGTAGGTAGGTGAAGGAGGTCACTTCTTTCAGATTTCACTCATTTATCCTGAGTGTTGTCTGTTGTTGTTGCTGCTGTTGGCTGGGAATCTTCATCACCTCTGTTTTATCTATGTTCACCTGAAGTTCTATCTTCTCTCAATGGCTCTTCTGCCAACTTGTTGCTTTTCATTTGCATATCTTCCATTTTGTGGGAAATCATACATATATCATCGGCGAAGTCCAGATCCTCCAAATCTCTTTTTGTGTGAGTCCATTTTATGCCTGTTTCCTCATTGCCTGCCAGCTGTTTGTCGCATTATCCAATCTACTGCAATCAGGAAGATCATTGGCGACAGTAGACAGCCTTGTCTCACTTCCGTCTTCACTTCGAAGGCTTCCGTAAGTTTCCCGTTGTGGATTACATGGCATGCAACATTGTCGTATAACTGTTGGATGAGATGTATAATTGTCGGTGGCACCCTGTAGTAGCGAAGTAGTTTCCAAATCACCTCTAAATCGACGCCCTTGACGGACTTTTCAAAGTCGATGAAGTTGAGATAGAGAGGTGACTGCCATTCCAAGCTCTGTTCAATGTTGATCAGTAGTATAGCGATTTGATCAATACATGACTTGTTTCTCTTGAATCACAGGACATTATTAATTGTAAGTTTTTGGATGGAAGTGAACCTCACTAGTAACAATATAATTTTAAAGGAAACGCAATGAATAATCATTTAGGGATTGAGAACAAAAATAATAATAATTGAAAAATAAATAGTGACATGTACGTATGTTCGTTTACAGACACAGGATAAAGACAAATTCAGTTTTCTGTGAATCAATTATACAGTCAGTGGAATATGCGATGAACAAATAGGTAAATATTCGTAATTTACACTATTGAAAATAATCATAATAATGTACGAGAATACGATAAAAGGAAAACAAGGGAAGAGTTAGAGAAATAATTCAATGTATGTTAGAATCAACTTATTTCAATGAATGTTGCTTTAAAGTAAGTAGTATTTCATATGCTTCTTGGATTCAGAAGACCGATGAATAAACGAAGAATATTTTTTTGGGGAAGGTATTCCCCTTACAAAATGTTTGAAGTATTACTGTTGTAGTTGTTATTGTCAACTTGGACTGTTCACTTTTTTGCATGAGTAAAGCCTTTGTGAGATTCTAAACCTCTATTGGACGGATATCGGGAAGCTAATGGAAGAGAGGAGGACGGTGGTGAAACACAGAGGATGACTCAATGCTAAGATGAACAACAGTAGGAGAAGCTGAGTTCACAGCTATTTACACTGCAGTGAATGAAGACAGAGGTGAAGAAGAGTGCTAGAAGAGACAAAAGACAATTCTACGTCACACTGGCCTCTATGTGAAGCAGAACAGGCAGGCAGGCACGCAGGCCGCAGGTAAAATACACCTTGGGACATTATATCAGATAACCAGGTCTCTATCCAAGAAAAGATCAACCCAAGCGAATCCTATAGAAGGTGGTCCAATGAAATTAATTTCCAAGCAGAAGAGGCAAATACAGTGATGGTTTGATCATTTCATAGGACTCTTGAATCGATCATCATCATCTGCAACTCGCCCAGAAATACCATCAACAACGAACACAGAACTACCAATGGAATTCCAGGGAGGCAGCAAGGCCAGACTGACACAAAGACTGTGGCAGATATGCTCGTACCACTATTGCAAAATGAGAGTTAACGAGTTTGGAGTGGGTTCGAGGGTGATATGGAGGAGAGGAGAGATTATGGGTAATCATGGGGCCAGCCACTGAGGATAGCAGAAAATAGAACAACGTGGAGATGTGCTGTTGAAGCCGTTTGTTCCACTCGGAACCCAAGGAGATAGTCATAATAATAATAATAAATATATTACAAACCATTTTTCGGTTTCCTGTAGAATGAAACCACAACATTGAGGTGAATACTTGTATTTCAGAATTTACTACTTAATAAGTTATCTAGTTAGATGTCCTGGTGTAACAACAGAAGACAAGGGCCAGGCAACAGATCGTTTTATTATGAAAATCAACACGTATTTATATATATTTCACATACATTATTACAGCTTATGCAAGTAGGCAAGCGCAGTCATCTGATTGGTTGCTTATCAGAAGTTAGGCAGACAAACGCAGGCTTCGGATTGGTTGTTTCGGGATTCCTCGACAAATAGAGTTCTCTATCTGCGAATCATATTTTGCCACGTAAACTTTGCTGTGATTGGTTGTTAAATCAGCCTTGTAGATATTTTCTCACGGCCTGCTCTCACCACACTCGTCCCCCCGTCAAAGACTTGCGACCGAAGTCTGCTTGATCTTCTTGGTGCAGGCGTCATCGTTGGCTTGTCTCGCTGTATCCATTTCTGGAGCTCGCTGACGTTCACGCGCCTCTCATTGTTCGCTATTGCGACTGTGTCTGCGTAACCCCATCTCGACGTGACCATATGTGGTCCCACCCACTTTGGAAACTGTTTGCCTGACCCTGTCGAACATTCGTCGTTATTTTGGCTCACACTTTCATATGCTGCTTTCGCCCGACCTCCCAGCAGCGTTCCAAGTAGCAGCTCCGTCGCTGACAGATCTTGAACGCCACTCAACTGCGCAGAAGCCTTGAAGTCCTGATCGAAGATCCATACGTCTCCATCAAAAACTGCAGGACATAGGCTTTCCATTTGTCGGTAGGCAGCGACACCAAATGTAACAACAGAAGACAAGGGCCAGGCAACAGATCGTTTTATTATAAAAATCAACACGTATTTATATATATTTCACATACATTATTACAGCTTATGCAAGTAGGCAAGCGCAGTCATCTGATTGGTTGCTTATCAGAAGTTAGGCAGACAAACGCAGGCTTCGGATTGGTTGTTTCGGGATTCCTCGACAAATAGAGTTCTCTATCTGCGAATCATATTTTGCCACGTAAACTTTGCTGTGATTGGTTGTTAAATCAGCCTTGTAGATATTTTCTCACGGCCTGCTCTCACCACACTGGGATAGTCAGTCTTCAGTAACAGCCTAATAATCCCTTCTAATGAGATTTGGAAGTGCAAAACGCCTCGTTTTCATGGGAATTCTATTTTCACGTCGTATTATATATAGTACACTGCTTCTTCTATCTGATAGTTGTAGCTTTTCTGAGCAGAATAATTTGAAAGACCGATTCACGAAAAAAGAATATTCTCTTTGATGACTCCTTCTTCAAGCTTTACATCTATAGGACAGTCATAATTGAAGGTTTATTCTTATTAACAACATTAAAATTCTGTAGTTGGTTTGTAAGGATTAGTTTTGTTTTTACAAGTTGATCACAGATTGATATCAGATGAAGAACCACTGAAAACCAGGGAGTATTACCAGACAGCTGTTTCATCCCAGTTTAGGACTCATCGGCAGTGCGCAACCACCACCAGGGTTCGAACACAGGGCCTTCCAGTTACAAGGCAAGCTAGCTCGTATAACATTCAGCCACTGGGACCAGATTCACTGGCCAGTGCATGAATGCTAACTCCTACCAATTAGTGATTTAAGGCGACTAGCACCAACCAATATCGTTGGTGGGACATCCATTCTCATGCTTGACTGGATGAACCTTACCAGTCACGACTTCTCGCTAGAACTCCAGAAAACTCCGTCCTGTAGCAAGTCACTTGCGAGCATCCAATGGTTCTCTAACTGATATCAATTCGTGATCAATTCGTAAGAAACCAAAACTAATGCTTACAAACCAACTACAGGTAATTAATCTGGTGCTGTGGGCAGTCAACACGAAGCGTATCTTGAGTTAGGTTACGTACCTGTTGGCATTCCCCGATCATCTGGGCGTATATAAAATCTCGGAGGGACTAATGTCCCTCCTTCTGAGATTCGAACCCGTGTTACTCAGTGGTGCAGTCAGACAGGTTACCACTTAGCTATTTGGCCTTGTCATTGACCTTCTGTAGGACTGTGTTGGATAACTTGATGTGACGCCATACGTCTAGTCCTTTTATTTGGTACAAACTGTATTCTATCTGTCAAGTTTATGATAACTTATCCGACTATGGCACTGGATGACACGGGTTCGAATCTCAAAAAAGAGTTGCGTGAGTTTTTTTTAAGATTGAATATACGCCTTGCAGGATGCGGGATTCCAACAAGCACGGAACTTAGGTCAGAGGAGACTTTCTACCAGTTGCTTCCAACCATCTATTAACAGCAAATCAAGGTGTACCACGATGGTCAGCCATCTAGGCTGGTGGCTATATTGTAAGCTAGACTGATAGAATTCAGTATGCACCAAGCAGCAAACACTAGATGTATTATACTAGCTACTATTTAGTATCCAATTAAAATATACTATCTTTCATCTGACACACTAACTTTCTTTGCATATGCGTTCACTCCCCCGGATCATTAATCATCAACTTATCCACTATTATTAAACATTTACTACAATGGTGTTTTTTTTTAAAAGATGTTAGTTGGAATATATAGTATAGAGTCTTGACTAGTCTGCGTTTAAATCTATTTGAACGAAAAACTGTTGTTCTTGCTTTATTGAAATTTTATTCATTTAAATCAAATAAATCCCTTGTAGAATATTTTCATTTCTCACTAGAATTATACTAAAATACTAAAATAAATTGTGACCACTACTTATATCTCTTTTTATCTTATAGGCGATCTACTCATCAAATGTACAATGTCACAGTATTTCTCCTGTTCTTTATGTCATTATACGGTTTTCTTGGTGTACAATTTTTCGGTGATGAATTAAATTATCACTGCGTTTTGAATACAGCCAATGAAACGTAAGCTTCTCTTCTTTTTAAATTAAATTAGTTATCCCCATTGTGACATAAAATCATAGAATTCAGCTAAGAAAATTCTCGTTTAGATGATTTCATTTGCGCAGCATACAATCGTATATATATATATATATATATATATATATCAGGTATTGGTTTTGTGGGGATTTTGTCTGATTGGTTGGGGGATTTCATCATGCGCTAACATCTGTTAGAGAACCATTGGAAACAGGCAGGGAGTACTAAACAGCCGTTTCTTCCTAGTTTGGGGCTCATCGGCAGTCAGCACCCACTGAGAGGGTTTGAACTTATGACCTTCTGGTTACAAGACTAGTGAGCTCATAGACCATTCAGCCACTGAGACCCAATCCAATGGCCCATGATTTCCAACTTCTACCAATTCATGACATAGCATGGCCACTTTGCAATGTCATCTTCGATGAGTTACTAGCAAAAAAGCTCACTTCAATTCAAACTGAAGTATGTGCTGAAGATGTTGCCTAGTGGTGGGGTAATCTAAGGTTCGCAAATAAACCATCCAGCTCAGAGAAAGCAACTACATGAAAATAATAACAATACAAAACCATATGATAAAATGTAATGGTCAGACAATGTTAAAAATAATTCAACAAGGTGGAAAGAGGATTTGGTAAGTTAGGTTTTGTTTATCGAACCAGCTGTGAACACTTGCAGTGAGAATGATGCAACAATTTTCTCAGATCTCTATAAAATTCTACCACTTCTATGACAAATGGACTGAAATTACTAGAATTATGAAAACTAAATTTTACACCTGTGATATACTTACGAATGATAAATCATGTCTGAAGTGTCGTCCAGAATTTAATCGTGTTTCATTGTGTGATCTGTTTAGCGAACGGACCAATATCGAATCAAAAACTGAATACTATTTGATTAGGCATGTCCAGAGAAGTCTCCTAATAGTTTCAATAGAACTGACTTTTCAGTGTCATTTTTGATGGTAAATGCATGGACATGTGCGTCGGTGGCAAAGCGGTTAGGACACTCGCCAACCATGCACATGGTCCGGGATTAGATCCCCGGCCACTGACTCACTGCTTTACCTCGCTAAGCCAGAAATAATTCTGGTAAAGAGGAAAGGTTGAGCATGAGGCTAGCAAACTCATCCTGTAAAAATAAGCACTGCTAAAGAAACTTCAAGCCAATAGCTTGGAGCCCTCTGTTCCACTGGGGAACGTGAAGCAAAAAAATGCATGGACATAAACTACAGTTTTACCTTCACACATCGGTAGATCAATTCGCATTATCCAGTTATTGGAACATGAGTGGTGTAAATGAAAGTTCTGAAACGATCAGTTTGAAGTCCCACTTCGCGTTTACCGCTAAGTAACACTATAATGCGCCTATTAAACAGTTTGCTTAACCCTATTGGAAATCAATTTTGGTAAGTTGCATCGTCGATTTTCTGAGTCAGCAGATGCATTACATAATTCTGACAGTAACGGGAACAGTAAAATTAGTTTTTCATATTTTTTATGGATACAATTTAATGTTACATGCAGTCTCTACCGTCAGTAAAAACGTTGAACTCAGTAATTTCCAATAATCAGGACATGATGCTGATTTTACTGACTATATTTCTAAACAGCCGATTGACAAAACAAAACTTTTGAGTAACTCGATTTATCTACTCATTAGTATCTTGATCGGTATTCTGGGATTATTCTATAAAATAGTGAAGCATGACGAAGCGCCAGGTCGTTAAAAAACAAAAATTAGGATTCTTTGGTAACTGGTATCCAACTCTGGGTTAGTAGCATGAGGCTTTCTGGGTACAATCCAAAATGGCATTGTAGGTATATTCTACTGGAGAAAATCAAACCGTAGTGAGACAATCCCTTTCTTATAATGGAGGAACTTTGTAGCTTAGGTGGATTATTCCAGTGTGTTTCAGTTGTCCGAGCCGGACGATTTACTTGCAAAACGTGCATTGTCTTACTAGACAACATCCTAGGCTGATACTACGATTTGAATTAGGCTTTTAAGTTTTTCCACGAGTTTATTAGTCATCTCACCTGATGGAAATCTAGAAAGTGACTGGTTGTTCTTATGTGCTTTCTCACTCTCTAGTCTACTTTTGATGGCATTGGTTATTTCCTCAATCTTAAGTTTGACCTAACGTTCATGTGATTTCCTTCTCATGGATCGATAAATCTTGTCTTTGTCAATGTATCGATTGATTGTTAATTCACTTGAATACCAGGCTTCTAGAAATCCTTTCGCAGCTTCCGCATTTCTTCTATCTGAGTCGTGATTATTCTCCACACGTAACTGGTGTCTGTGGTTGTCTGTATGCAGTGATATGAAGGAGTAAACATCGTGTCTTCTGACAGCCAGGAGATGTTCACGGATGCAAAGTCGAAGAGGGAGTTCACTTTGACTAATGCAATTTTTTTTCACTGTAGTTGCAGTTTATCTTGTGGATGATATTGGTTTTATTTTCTTTCGCTGTTGAGTCTCTGGGCTGACTACAGAGCTATATTCTTATAAAGGCAAAACATAGGGTGAGCAAATCCTTTGGAAAAACAATGGTAAATAACCTCAATGAATAAAGTGGATCGATTTATAATGATTCGGCACATTCACGCTCACTTTGTGCCGTTAATCGGTTATTCAAGACGAGGGATTAATAGACGGCAGTTTCATGTCTGCTGAAGAACTATCGGCATTGCACCACTTAAGAATAATCTTCGATAGGATACAAAGAGAATAGCCCTCCTACTAGGTATGTTCTCCTTATTTCACTAATTGGAATTCAGTTATATGTGTTTTCCAATCCTGCCTATTCGTCAGTGTATTGCGACCGGAATCAAGCATGGATTTAGTTTTGCTGCTGTTCTTATTAGACAGTTGGAGGCAATCGGTAGGCTGCACTGCGTTGACCTAGAGTTTTGTGCTGACGACTAGACAGGGTGCATCTGCAACCTTAAATTAACTCATGTCCATCCTTCTCAGATTCCAACCCACATCACCCAAAGCTGCAGTCTGAGACGTTACCACTAAGCTATTCTGGATCACAACTGACCTCCTCTAGGAATATAGTTGATACTTTGATTGGACACTAGCAACTAGTGCGATGTGTCTAGTCTTTTTTTCGGTGCATACTGAATTCTATCATCATGTGAACACCATTCTACGTGGCTCGATATCACAACACACTCAGATTTGTTGTAGTTAGATGGTTAGAGGCTGTCGGTAACTTCTCTGACTGCATGCTGAATGTCAAAGGCAAATAAGTTATTTTGAGACTGCATATATGCCTTGCTAACTGGTGAGTGCCAACTAGCACGAAACCTAGGTCCAAGGCTTCCTGTTATCGATTGCCTCCAACCATTTAATATCATCAAATCAATGTGCACTGTGATGGTGAGCTATTTATAATATTGGCCATATTGCAAATCTGACTGATATAATTCAGTCTGCAACGAAGAAAGGACTAGACACATCGCACTAGTTAATAAAGTCCAATAAGAGTATCCACTACAGCCCTACAGGAGGTCGATCGCGAGCCCGAATAGCTCGCTTAGTGGTGATGTCTTTGACTGCAGCACTCACTGGGTGACATGGGTTTGAATCTCAGAAGAAATATGAGTCCCTTTAAGGCTGCAGATACGCCTTTCTGACTGGTGAGTACCGATAAGCATGAAACCTAGTTCCAAGACTTCATGTGGCCGATCGCCTACAACTATGTGATATCAGTAGAAGACAAGATGCATGACACTAGTTACTTACTACCTAGAGTCTAATCGATATATGCTAAGGTTTACCAGTTAAACTTTACTGGTTATTTATCCAACTGACTACATTTAGTGAGTGCGTCGGTGGCCCAGCGGTAGAGTGCTGGTCAAACATAAACGTGGTCCAGGGTTCAAGTCCCTACCGGTTCACACCTTTACCTCCCTTAGCCGGTTATAATCCCAACAAAAAAGTGAAAGTTGGACGTGGGGCTGGCAGTGCTACCCGCTCCAGTAAAAGACACCACTGCTACTAAAGCTTCAGAGCTCTAGCTTGAAGCCTTATGTTCTATTCGGAACGCAAAGCAATAAATAAAAGATGTGCTGTACTGAAAATTTATTATAATCACATGCCGGTGATACGTTGAAATAATGTACATTTTTCAATTTTATACATATTTTCTTTTCAATTTTTTTTCTTCTCATTACAGGCATATAACAAAACAAGATTTAGCCATACCAGATTCATATTGTAATCCAGCAAAAAGTCCTGAAGATCAATGTCCAAGTAATATGAAATGTATACGTATTGCTAGTTCTATACAAGATGATGGAGGTTATGCTGGATTTGAAAGTTTTCGTAAGTATATCATAATTTCATGGATTTATTCCCCTTGATGAAATGGAACAAAGCAAGAACAACAGTGGCTTTGCAGAATAAAGTGGTACCATCTTTTATTTCGTCGGCTTCTCATCAGCTTCTTACAGGCCAAAGTCAGTATTAAATATACCTACAGAAACAATTTAAATATACTTTCATAGAAGTTCATTTTAAACAAAAATCGATCAATCACTATATACATACAATAATATATATATATATGTAGTACTAAACACTGTTCCGAATAATAATGATTAAACACAATGGAAACTTTTCAGCATTTCGCGATCAGATGAAAGAGAGATGAAAATATCCAATCACCAGGTTGGCAAAGAAAGGCTGATAACTGTTCCCTTCTGAACACAAAAATCTGGTTCCAGGCACTTGATGGAAATGGCTTCAGTAAACTTTTGCCTATTGATAGTTTTGATCGAATTTTCGACGTCCACCACATGACCCGTGTCAAGGAGATGCCTGGCGATGGCACTGTTTTGAAGCATTTGTTCCCTTTAGACATAAGCTTTTTGGTACATGTTCAGAAAATCGTAGGTGTGCTGCCTTTCTTTCTGTTCTTCCAATGTAACTGCTTCCATAGATACATGTAAATTTGTATATTCAGTTGAAGTTAACATGAGAAGGATATCTATGGAGTTTTGATAGCACTTAGTGAGCAAGTTGTTCTCCTCAAGTTTACTGAAGCCATTTCCAACAAAAGCGCCTGAAGTCTGATTTGTGCGTTCAGAAAGAAACAATGATCAGTCTTTCTTTGCCAACCTGGTAACTGGTTATTTTCAACTCTCTTTCATCTGATCGCGAAATGCTGAAAGTTACTATTGTGTATGATCATTATTCTTCGGAATAGTGTTCAGTATTATACATATATATATATATATATATATTATTAGTGTTTGTGTATATTTGATTTATCGATTGATTTTAGTTTAAAAATGAACTCTGTGCAAGTATGTTAAAATTGTTTTTGCAGATATATTTAATAATGGTACGACTGTATTCTGCTAAAACCATGAAAAATTTACAATTATGTTAGAACTTTTCTGTACGTAAACTTTATAATTCATTTAGACTGTAAGCAGCAGCTGATGAGAAGCCAACGAAATAAGCAATGATTGTACCATTTTATTCTGCAAACACTATAGTCTGTTTTGCTTTGTTTAAATTATAATTCATGTTTTCCTAGTAGTTTGATATTACAATACACAGCAAAGTACACTCAAAAAAACGATGGATATGTAACTCATTTGTCAGTGAGCTATCTCATATTTGAAGCAGATGATTGCAGGTCTGGCTACCGCCTCTTCACCTACCCAGTTTTAACCAGCTAGTTGGTTTGATATCACTGGGTTTTACATACAATAGTTTTGTCTCGTTTCCAATGGCACGGAAATGCACGGAATCACTAAGTTTGAGTCAGTGAAAGTTAAAAATGGAAGTAGCACTCAAGATATTTTATTTCATCAACGGTTCGTTATAGCTGAAAGTATAAGAAATTCAAGTAAACTAAGATATATTTATGGGAAAGCAATCAGCGGTACCTGTGAACACCTTAAAGTTAATTATTGAATTGAATTTTTTTGATTTTCCCGTCGATTGATTGGACTGAAGTCCTCGGTCTCAGGTTGACATGTCGGCTTCTTGCGCGGATGCTTCGATGATGTCTGGGCATTTAATTAGTATACAATTGGTGGATGGTGGTTAGCAGTGGAATCCAGGATGCGCATTTCGTCCTATTTGGGACTCGTCAACTGGATGTACCATTATTTCTCAGTGAGTGATGATGTTACCACCAAGGCTCGCTTTGGCGTTTGAAACTATGGGTACTGGGTTCGAGCCTCGGTGGGAAAATCATCACTCATTGAGAAATGCAGGTACATCCAGATGACGAGTCCAAAATAGGGCGAAGTGCGCATCCTGGATTCCACTGCTATCCACCATCCACCAATTGTATACCTTAAAGTTAAAGTCTTACACGTGGAAATTCTCAGCCGAAATTTTATTTTATTTTGCAGCCTTAGTATAATTCGTGAATTATCTCCACCCAGACATCAATAAAAACAACGAAACACGTAGTTCAGTGAACAGGCTGTCTTTGGAGAATTCAGTCTCATTTCAAACTGTACAATCGCTTTTATATGGAATGTATTTTCCATGAAAGACTACAGTAACGAATGTTAAGAACACAATATTCAGCGAAGAGACTAATTTCAACAAATGTATTATCCAGCTGTACAATCTTATTTATATGGAAGAAATTATACCCGGTGAGGGAATTAATGTCAAAGGTGTTAACACATGAAATAATAATAGTAGTATGAAATGCAATAAGAATTAAAATGTTTATGATTGTAATCATAGTTTAATGTCAAGTGGCAAAATAATTGATGTCATATATAGAATAATACATAAGGTGTATAGATTTTGGAAAGGATTACATAACTATAAGATTAGTAGACGAATATAAAATATTACATAACATGGCGTGAGATTTGATAAGATAGAATTCAATATTGTAAAAATAAAAATATAAAAATTATTAATCTTGGGTTTAAAATGACAAGTGGGTCAAGTGGAAAAGATTCAGAGTGAGAATAGTAATAATAATAATCATGATAGTAATAATAATAACCGTAGTAATAACGGGAAAGTACATAGAATAACTAAATAAACAAACTAAATAAATATCTAGCAATTAGAAAGTTTAAGCCACCTTTACGCGTTCAAAAACAATTCGTCATCAAATTAAACCTTCCTTGGTAAATTTTGTTTTGATACCATAGCAGATGTACTGTTACCTCTGCTATTTGGTTTAGTGATCTTCATTGTTATTTTGACCTTGAATATGTCCTTTTAACTTGACCTAAATCGTCTATTTTCTCACCTCTTACCTCTTTATTCATTCCATATGTATTCCTACGACAAGTCCATGTGTGATGGATCAGATTGTTCTAAATGTGCTGCGCAAAAAAATTACACGATTCAGACAAATTACATCTTCTTATTGCTTCATCTAAATTTATAAATTGAACTAATTTTTTTAAAAATCTATCCTTCTACGGCCAAGGCAGAAGTGGGGATTGTACACACTTCTCTCGTACGCAAAAGTTTGTCTTAAAGTCATGAATTGCCAAGGCCTCCGCTGTACTTTAGATGTCTGTAACAAAGAAAACGCGGCCAGCAAGTTAGCATGAATTCTGTTGATGATCTTAAAATCATGATCAGCGTTGACAGAGGGATAGGAGTCGATCAGGTGTTCCAGAATAGAGCTTCGCACACACTTCCTTTCTCCCTTGAAAAACCATGCTAGAATATGTTCTTGTATCCGTGTCGAAAGCGTCCTCTGACTACGGTCAATATACCTTGCTCTACAAGAAGAGCAGGTGAACTGATAGATGCACATGGAGACGGCCATACGGGGGAGCTTATCTTTTACAGAGATGCAGAACAACTTACTGCTGGTGAACGTCATCTGTAATTTTGCTGCAAAGAACATCTCACCGACTGATTTTGAGAGACGGTTTTTGAGCATATCTGAAGCTTGATCACCTTTGAATTCAAAGTTCATGAATAAGGTTTTTATTTGGAAATGAGTCAGTCGGTGACCAGTTTAGACTGCTTATCTTTCAGTTTTATCTCAATAAATCGGTTAGGTTAACCGTTTCCTGAGAGTGTGGCTTTTAAGAAGTCAATTTCTGAGTCAACTCAATCAGAGCTACAAATGTTTGTTATCCTAAAGGACAGCGAGCAAATGAACTAGATTTCTTTTCCTGGAAATAGGCACCCAAATATAAAAATTAGTTAGTGGAGCTTATCTTTTACAGAGGTAGAGAACAACTTGCGGATGGTGAACGTCATATGTAATTTTGCTGCAAAGAACATCTTACTGACTGATTTAGAGAGACGAGTTGTCACAATCAAAGTTGTCAATATTAGTCAGTGTATCAAAGGAGTTTAGTGAATGTATGAGAGTTGCGTAATAAGATGAATAATATGATGAATGAGTTGTAATCAGGATGCACATAGAAACGAAGTAAAGATATGGGATTGTATAAGAGTTGTAAAGAAATACTAGAGTCATGAGAAGTTAGGAGAACAAAAAAAAACGAAAATCATGTTATCAGATATCAACAAGATTGCTACCGTTATAGCAGGAGTTGTTGTATAATTTTCATTTGTGTGTGCAGTTAAGGTTTCTTTAATTGAATGACTAATGTTTTAGCAATGCAACAATGATGAAGAAGTATTGTGTTTGGTAGGTTGTTCCTTCCCGTTGCAAATTACTTTGAAGGAGGCGTTTGTTGAGATGGAATGACGAATGTTGACGAGGTGTTCGATTATTGCACTCCTTATAAGGTCACTGCTGCTCTTCTGTGATCCTACATGATAGTGTTCTTAAACACTTTTAGACTGGATATGCGATGAACTGTCACTATAACTGGCTCCATAAGAATAGGTCAACTGTTATATGCACATAGAAGTGGTCATGTGCGAGAATTTATAATTAAGGCTTCTTCAGACCAATAGACAATTAAAGAAACACTGCTTTTAGCGTTGGTGGTAAGAAAGTTGTTCTCAAAGAAACTGAAAATCTTCCCTTAAGGATAATGCAAGTTAAGCCATCCTAAAATCCTAGCTTTTCGTAAAAGTTTGTTTCTGGGAACACGTGATTTTTCGTTCCTCTGAACTTCTTATCAGTGATCCTTAGTGGATTTCCATTTTGAATGAAGGTTCGCTCCAGAAAATCTAGTTCTGCTTCGAGGGTATCACAGCTATAGATGCGTTTTCGTTCAGCAGCCGCACAAATATAGAAACTGATCAGTTGACTGTTCCAAGAGGGTTTTTGTATCGACTGATCTTCTAAAGACTCCATTGGGTCTTCTAGATAGTTTAACATCAAGAAATGGAATCTGCATTTATGAAAAAGTGGTGTATTAATGTGACTGTACACTTAAAGAAGAAAAAAACTCGCCAAAAAGAGTCTCTTCTCTGAACTACATGGTCTGTTTTCAATAACACAATTTATTTGGAGGTAAAGTCAGGGAAAACTGAGACTGTTATATAGAGGTTAATGAGAATGAGACGACATTATTACTCTCCTGTTATACAAAGCACTCTTATTATTATTATCATTATATGAAGAGTGTAATAACCGTGGTAGCTCACAGACAGGTTCTTTCTTATTTAACTTCTATTATTATCATTATTATTATTATTATCATTCCCTTGAATTTCGGGTGGACCATAGTGTAACGACAGGAAGCAGGGGCCAGGTAACAGATCTTTTATTGAGAAAATCAACAGATATTTATAGATTTTAATGTACATTATTATTCGTTATTGTTAACAGAGGAACAGCGTCTTCTGATTGGCTGTTTTCTCGCTGAAATTTATTCTGTCATCTTTTTTTGACCGTTTCTTTGAAGATCAGAGGATATATATATCTGCGAATCGTATCCGCACACGCAAAGTTTGCTGTGATTGGTTGTTGAGTTAGTCTTTGTTCTTGTTTTTTTCTCATGACCACGATTTAGGACGAAAACATTGACGTAAATTACTGTCTACCAATTTTGGTTAGCAGACAGCTCTCAGCACAGTAGCATTTCAACAACACATCTCCACTTTTTCCATTCTCTGTTGTCCTCTTTTATTTATTTATTTATTTTTGATTACAGCTTGACTCCACACCGTATTTTTGGTACAAGTATGGAATTTTCAGCGTGGATATCGGTAGCCCAAAATTCGCAGGCCGACCATAGATATCAGGTGTGCGTCGGCGTGGGCTCGAACCCCGGACCATATGCATGATCGGCGAAAGTCTTAACCACTGTGCCACCAACGCACCGGGTCCACGACTGACCATTATCTCTCATCTCCTCCTCCTCGCCGCATGGTCGCCAACACGTCACCCTAGGACGACCCACGCATCGTTTCACATTTGGATTCCACTCGAGTGATGGGCGCGATGTCATTCGACAGTCTCGTGAACGTATGCTTGATCGATCTCCATTTTTTCCTACAAATGTATTGAGCGATCGGCTCACCCAGCCAGAATTTTTGTTACTTATTTTTATGGCTATTTTATCTTCAGTATGGAGCCAGCCAAGGTGGCCGCTGTTGATAAACGTCTACAACCTACTGGAAATCCTTTCCGTGACTCACACGCAGTGCAATTTTCTGACTCAGGTAGAAGAACCTACTTGACATTGCTGTTCAAAATCCGCATCTTGTTGTTAATGTCATAGATTACGGAAGATTTTAAACTGATGCCTTTTTGCTCCTGCCTGGCTTTCTTTGACGACATCATCATCCGTTTCGCCGGCCTGTAGTTGAAACAATGTTTCCTAGCCAGATAAGTGAAGGAGGCAACCTCTATAGGACAGAACATATTCATTGTTCAGTTATCCATTCTACTGAGGAAAGTCATCAACGTATACAGTTGTTGGAGTCGAGAGTGCGAGTAAGGATGTCTATCCATGATACCTATCTGAATGGTGAGCACATCGTACTGTGTATCTTTGAGTGAATAGAACTACCAAAACTCTACAAATCACTATCATCAGATAGTGTTTACTTTCTATAGTTTGGTTTGTAAGGATTAGTTATGTTTTACGGGTTGATCACGGATTGATATCAGTTAGAGAACCATTGAAAACCAGGGAGTACTGGACAGCTGCTGTTTCATCCTAGTTTGGGAATCATCGTTACAAATCATCATTACAAACCAAACTATGGAAAGTTGATCTGATGCTCGCTAGTGACTTGCTACAGGTTGGAGTTTCCTGAGTTCTGTGAGAAGTCGTGACCAGTGAGGTCCAATTAGATGTCACGTGTGTGGATGGATGTCCCACCAACGACAATGGTTGGGGTCGCGCTAAATCACGAATTAGTAGAAGTTAGAATTCACCAGCCATTGAATCGGGTCCCAGTGGCTGAATGGTATACGAGCTTGCCTTGTAACCGGAAGGTCCTGGGTTCGAAACCCAGTGGGTGCGTACTGCCGATGATTCCCAAACTAGGATGAAACAGCAGCTGTCCAGTACTCCCTGGTTTTCAATGGTTCTCTAACTGATATCAATCCGTGATCAACCCGTAAAAAGATAGTGATTATACATGAAATATTAAATGTGAGAATTTTCATTATAAAATGCAAAATATATCTCTTCTTTATTATTTACAAAAATAAAATACCATTTATAGTTTCATGATATTATTTGATCTTACATATATTTTTTTTAAAAAATCTTTTTTTTTAACCATATTTAGATGTAAGCATATTTACAGTATATCAGGCAGCTTCACAAGAAGGTTGGGTTTTCATCATGTATCGTGCAATGGATTGTCTTGCCTCATGGAAAGGAGTTGTCTATTTCATGTCTATGATATTTTTAGTCGCATGGTTAGTCAAGGTAAGGATAGAAGTAGTTTGTTTTGAATTTTATATAAATATAAATATATTTATATGTGTATAATATGACTGCTATATTGTGTTTTTCAAAATGTTATTATTATTGAACACGAGTTAAGCAGATGTGTGACTGACTGACTGACTGACTGACTGGCTTTAACAAACAACTTTACACAGATGTACAGTAGCTTCAGTCGTAACTCTCTCTATCTCCATGCAACACACGAAGTAAGAGAGGACAGGAAAAGCAGAAACACAAAGGGTGAACGCGTCTCTGCCATCCATGGAGAACGGTTTTCAGCTATATCACTAACTGTCTGTAGCCATTGGTTCTTACCATCGACAGGACCCAAAACAGGCGGTCTGCACAGCACTATGGGACTCAAACCTAACTGTCAAGGATTCCACTGACACTTTCTGTGTTCTCTCTTGACCATCACTAGCTATTTTCTAAACTAATCGGTTAACATTACCTGTAGAGGAAGGCGATAGCCAGGAATGCGTAACACATATCCTAATCATTTCAATCGATGTATCTTCAAAACTTCAAAGACTTACTTCGCCTCCTTACCTCCATATACACTCACACTCTTACGCAATCCAAACCTTCGGGGTATTACGCAGGCATCTATGATCATAGACACCTAGTCATATCATATCTTCCGATTCCAATGACCAATTCTTATTTACAGCCAAAGAGGAGGGCAAAGCGAACTCTTGCGCCGTACATACACGCCCTTTGACAGATAATCAAACGGACGTCTATGCCAGATATGATGTAGGCTGGCAAATGTTAAACATGAGCCTTCTATATCCATGCTTTGATATCACCAGGAATCATCCTATTGAAGCTGATATCGTTCACCGAAAAATGAAGTGATCGACAACATTTTCGCCATTTAATTCTCCACCTTCAAGCTAGGAGTCTATGTAGCCCATTTCTGTAGAATCATCTTACATCTGGCAGGAGCGAATCTCACGTCAACCATTGGGAGATTGCTGCTTAGAGTGTTCAGAATACTCAGAATTTCATCAGTGTGTATAACAGTAGAGATAGAGGGGAAAATAACAATAAACAATCTATCTCTCAGAGTCCAGTTTACTTCGGAAGCAGAATCAGACGTCGGTGAACTACCATTCCTAGACTGCCTAGATAAGAGGAAGGAGAACGGACATTTGAGTATTTCTATATTCAAGAAGAAAACCCACTCTAACAAATATTTAGACATCAGATTATCACACACCATCGGCGTTTCAGGTCTTCTGAGAATAGCACACTCTCTGTTGTTAACGGTTGAGAAAGAAAAAGAAGAAGAAATATCAAACATTACTGAGACTCTCAAGCAAAATAGCAACCCAAAGAACTTCATTAACAGATACATTGAGTATGGTGGAAAACATATTCCGGTAACATGGACCTCAGCAGTTGTCATTCCATATAGAGCAGAGACGTCAGACAATAGATGTTAGAAGAGAACTCAATAAGCCCGACATCAGAGTTTACTTCAAAACGTCAAACACACTGCGAAACAACTTTGTCCGTATAAAAGACCGAATTCCTAAATGTGTGCATAAAATAAAATGCTTGGAATATGATGTATCGGACATTGGACAAACATCTCGAGAAATCAAAATCTGTACGCCCACCGAGGAATCCAGATGAACTAGAAAAACTGAAAAATCATCAGCCATGGATGGTTTACACGCTTTAGAATCAGGCCGCAAGATTAATTTTGACAATATTGAAATCATCATTCAGAAGAAGCATTTCAGAAATCACAAACAACGCCTTCCATCATCGGAAGCACTTCATATCAATTGGAATCTAAATTACTGAATAGGAATGATGGAATAAAACAGAATCTGACCTGGTTACAACACCCACCCAACTCCTATTAAATGACAAAATCAACATGAATATAATAAGCAATTTCATTACGTAAACATACACTGCTTTTACAATTTAACACACTCATAAAATCCAACAAACTACACCTGATTTTGTTATCTTTACTAATTGGCCAACTTGACAATGCAAAAATGACCCCATGTTGAGGAACGATGATTAAGTTATCATATATAAGTCGAGGAGATTTTGTAAATTCTGGTTTAATAATACTACTTTGATAAAGCTATTATCAGCAGCATTAAATAGAGAAACGTCAGTAAACATGGCAATATCGTTTTGCTTTTCATTCATTCATTGGGAAATATAAAATAACCTTTATTATAACGAATATCATATACCCAATGGCCAAATTGTTTTTCAAAATGTTAAAAGTGATCTTAGTTTGGACATATATGTTGATAATAATAAATTGTGAAACCGAGATCAAAATGTACAACTGCAACAGTATAGCATTTAAATTGTTAATACAGTTAGCAGTACAAATAACATTTAAATAATAAGATAACGTTTTCTGAACAACAACCTTGGGTTGAAAAATTTTTCCTGACTAAAGGTGCAGGAGAAATGTATATATATATATGTATATGACTCTGCCGTCCCTAAGAAACGTGGCTACTGAATTACAGTCTGTGTATAAAAGTCGCCACTATTTGTATAATTCCAATGCGCGTGAAGAAGAATAGACTACCGAGTCTTACCGCTTCACTGTACATATATAAGTTTAATTGTTCTTGTGGAGACAGTTGCATAGATAAAACGACTTGGAAATCCCACTTGAAACGTTCAACCCTACCCCAAAAGTATGGTAGTGGCATGTAAATGACACATTCACTGTACTTAGAACACAAGATATATAGATAGATTTTTCGAACACACCAACTCGAAGGCAGAGGCAATTCAATTCACTTATGAAGTGGAAAATCAGGAAGGGGAGCTTCCAATGTTAGATTGTAGCGTAAAAAGGAAAGAAGATGGGGGGGGGGTTAAAATCTAGTGTTTACAGGAAACCCACACATTCAAACAAGTATTTGGACTTTCGATCATCCCATCCTATGTCAGTAAAAATAGGATTGGAGAAATGTTTAAGTGACAGAGCACAAAATCTAAGTAGTACCAAGGTTAATCTAAGACAGGAGGTGGGGCGTATAAGAGAAGCTCTGAAACCTGTCAATTACCCTGATAAATGAGTCAGAAAGTATGTAGGGGAATGTAAAAATAAAATGAATGATAATAGTATTGATAGTGATAATAATAATGATAACAATAATAATGATGTTAATAGCCATAATAATTTTAATGACGACACCGGCAATAAGGAATCTAAATCATCAATAGTAATTCCATACAAGGAAGGAACCTCGGAAACCTCACAGAGAATTCTTAACAAAGCAGGGATAAAAGTGGCTGGTATTCAAACCCAAAAACTCAATCAGAAGCAAACCTTTATCGGTTACAGGACCAATCCTGTGGAGCCTTTAAAACACAGCAATTTAGTTTATCTAATACCCTAATTGAATGGTTGTCAGGTCGAATACATAGGTCAAACTAGTAGAATGGAGGCAGTTAGACTAGCGTAACCTAGCAAAATCTAGGTTGGTTGACCCGAATAAAATAAGAAATCTAGAGAATAGTTCAGCCATAGCATTATATGCAATCACACACAACCATATAATAGGATCGATGGGATAAGATAACAGTTTTAAAATCTAATGTCACAGGGTGGAGGGAGGGAGAGATTGATAACAGAAGCCTTGTTTATCGAATCAACTGCAAACGAGTGTAATAGGAATGATTCAACACCTGTCCAGTCGGATATCTGGAAAATTTTTACTACCCCAACGACGACAAATGGGAGAGGACAAAGAAAACAATAAAACTCAAATTTCAAAGTCGTGTGATTGTAATTGATGCAATGATTATGAACAATAAATTTTGTTCGAAACGTCATTCAGTGAATAATACTGTTTCACTGTGATACATCTAATAAACAAACTAATGTGGAAATCCCATCATCGCATTGTTGAGCACTGTTCAACGTGGTTAGATACAGGAGTCATAAAGGCAATCAGAAGCTCCATACCGGTTAACTTAGTGGATACTGAACAGAAGAATGACCCGAACCCAGCTCTTACAATTCTATACAAGGTGCCACGTAAATTCTCGAAATTTTCATACCTTTGATCGCTAAACGTAGCCGAGGCGGTTGCCATGGGTTTCAGCCACAACCTAGGATATTTATCTATCCCAGTGACACCGGATATTTGGAAATATTATTTGCTTTTGTCCCTCTACGATACCGTGATACAGGCGCATATTTTAATCTTGGTTTCACAATTTTATCTTTATTATTGTTCCACTTCCATTTCTCCTTTATTCTGTTTAATTTTTTTATTGATCCACGTTGTCTTTCAAATGTCTATGAATGCGCATTTTATTGCGTGATGAAAATTTACCGAAAATACGTATTAGCTTACTTAACTTATGTTCTAAAGATATCCTGATGGGAATATTTAAATGTCATTATAATTATAATAATAAAAATATTGCTGTAAATCTAGAATGAGCTGAATTGTAATATTAAATTAGCCTTCCTTAATGTCAAAATACTGGTATTATTATTATTCCCTTGGGTTCCGAGTACAAAAAAGGGCTTCAACAAAACATCTTCACTTTTCTCTATTCTCTGCTATCCTCTTCAAGTGGCTAGCCTAACGATTGCCCATAATCTGTCATATCCTCATCCTTGATTTCACCCTCACACCGACCACCCACTCACTACTGCTTCTGACTGGGATTCCACTCGAACGATGCCCTGCATTGAGCGCGATGTCACTTGTCGGCCTCCTCATTGTATGCCCCATTAATCCATCTCAACTCTCCCCATACATATTTTTTGAGCAATCGCTCTCACCTGTTGGTTTGTTGCCAGCCAGAGTTTCGTGTTGCTAACTGACATTTTCAACGAATCGTTTTCCGAAAGTATTATACCTGAATCATGCGAAAAACATCGAGATCGTTCCAGTGCCTAAATCAACAAGTGGACCTAATGTTAAGTTTAGACCCATTGCTATTACTTCACCTTTTTTGAAAGT